AAACGACGTTTAATAAAATGGCTTCAGCGTCGTCATTTTATTAAAAAAATTAATGAAAAAAATATTTTTTACTTCTAAAGACATGTATTATTAAAGCCTTAAAACGAATTTTGTATTACTTTTATTGTTTTCCTAAAAAAAATTCCCAAAGTTACCTATGATTTTTAGGCGCTCAAGGTGGTGTAACCCCTTAAAGTCAATGGCTGTTATAGAGGTAATACTAAATATCTCATTGCTTTATTTTATAATACACGAAGAGAAGAAGTGTAATGAAGAATATTGAATTAAACTAAATATAATAATAAGATTATTTATTTTTGTCAATAGACACAATTTTATTAAAGTATTGACGGTAAATCTTATAATGCTGCGCGTTTTTTATTCTAGTCTGTATAATTTTTTACTTATAAGAGATAGAACTCCGTTGCGTCCATCTTTTGACGGTACCGCGTCGGTGTTACGTGTCATGTAAACTAGAAGAAATCAAAGGTAGGAGTTGTAGGCTTAGCAACAGTAATAAAGGCGTAAATTTAATTTCAGTAGAACAAATGAGATTAAATAAAGAGAAAAAATTGGCAGATTTAAGAAAAAACATTTAGGCCACACAAAAAAAAAGCATTATTGAAGAACAAGTAAGCATATATTTGTTAGATTAGACAGTAGGTTTTAAATGTTAACTCAAGTTGATATATCAAATCGCTGCGTTTCATGTCGATTTCAGTTCACTTTGCAAAAATCTGTCTAATATCTCACATTCCCCGCCGATCATTAGGTTGGGAGCATTTTTTTTCAGAAACGCGTAATCTTTTTTGTAACGCTACCGTATATAGCAATTGGTAATTTTTTATAAAAAAATAACTTAAGTAAAACAAGCTGATTGAATAATGATAAAAATGAACACCAAATGCGATTATCGCGATGATTGAAAAACTTGAGAGGTTGAATCCAACTCTGAACTATAATATATATTCTTGCCTTGACAAACCTTGACAAATCCACGACAACTCACTACGTTGACGAGTGTATGGACCGAGCACAGGACAAGAAGTACGTTTAATATGATCATGATCCGCTTTTCTTTGCGATTGTACAGCAGAGATCGTTTATCTTTTAAAGCACACTATATGTACTAAAATGCGACCGATTAATACTAACCATTTTCTTGAATCATAACTAGCGATACGAACCAATAAGATACTAATCCATTAATGACCGATGATATTTATAACATTACTCTTAGACGAAATAGGAATAAAACAATACTTTGATTAAATAACCGCAGGCGAAATTAATCTGATGATTACGGAGTGTCTATCGATTAAAATATTGCTTGAATAACATGGATGTACATCTTTATCACACGATAAGTGATGCCATGATTAAATGCTTGATTTTCGTAACAGATATTTTAAACGAAAATATTTAATTTAGAACATTTTATTTATATTGTACAGTTTCATCGACAAAACTGAATCAATCCAATTACGAACGTATTATGAAGCATTACTATTGTTATTGAATTATTATTTAACTCATCAAGGTAAAAAAATATTCATATCTCATATTTTTGAGAATTTGTTACGTTTAAAAACATTTATAAAAAACCTTTAAATTTGTCAGATATTTAAATTTTTTTCAAAAATTGTAGAACAAAAAATCTTAAAAATTTTGAATATCTGAAAATTTTCATATAAAAAATATCCTAAAAAAATTAGTGATGAATATAACTCGTTATTAAACACAATATAATTAATTAAAAGACAAGACAAAGACGAGCAATCGTTAGATCTATATTTAATTATTTATTGTTTCAAATATAATTTCGCGATACTAGTTTCGACCTCACTGGGTCTTTTTCGATCGTCTAAATTAATCCGTTGACATATAACGCAGCGCATTGAGTATAAATAAATGGTAAATAAATATATAAATTAATATGAGTTAGACCATTACAATGTACAAATATTATAATAAAAAACGAAGTCAGATATTATAAATTTTAAATTAAACGCAGTCATCAGACAGTCATAGATTCTTATCGTCCTGAATAAAATGCGTACCAAAAAAGTAAATTGTTGAATGATCTTCCTGTCAAATAGGGTATACCAATTACCAAAATTTCAGCATGACGTTAAATTCATATTAGCATATGTATATAAATTTGTCGAAAAAAGTTTGCTCAAGAATGCCGTTACATCTATTAATAATACATATTGTTGTAGCTATTGAACTAGAACTCTTTTCTATTATATAAAAACGTACATATAAATTGTTGTAGCTATCTAACTAGAACTATTTTGATATAAAATAAATAACACTATTTCAGAACTTTATTATTACAATATAAAAACTACACGCTTGTATTAGAGATGATATTAAGCCTATTTAATATGAGATGTATTCTGGTTGGTGTCTTATAACGTATTGACTAAAACAGAATCCTTCGATTTTGTCAAATACTAATTAATGTTAATTGCGTTTATTATAGACCATCTCAAAACAACATTGTTAGTTAAGATCTACCGTTAGCGAGTCTTTTTACCAAATTGAAATAAACGTCATCTAGAAGAGCGCTGTGACTTCAATCGCATTAATTCTATTTTTTTGGGACTTAATGTGAATCGTCTCAGAGTTAGTCTTTTATAATAATTTGGTTTGTAGTTAAGAATTATAACATTTTTCCAATCATACATATGATTAAATTTTAACATGTAATTCGTATATGATGACCGAATGTTTTGAAATGTCTAGATTCATGTTTTTTCTATGTTCAATGACCCGTATTCTCATTTGTCTCTTTGTCTGGCCTACATATGAAGTTTCGCAGTCCCTACACTATGGATATTTTATTTTATTGGTTTTATTTTATTTTATGGATATTACAACGTTATTGTTCGATTCTCGATCAGTCTTATCTTTATGTCTTTTTAAATTTTAAAAAAGATTTAAACTTTTGCAATATTCCTGAAAAGAATACCATTTTGCGCGTGTATAAAAAAATTAAAGCAATTTTCTAAAAAATTATGAAATTCTAAAGAATTCTGAAATTTATATAAAAATTCTAAGAAGAATTTTCACCAGTATACGTAAAAACCTAGTTCAAATAATTGTATAAAAGGCTGTTTGTCGCAGAAATTGAGCAGCGTTAATACAAAAAATTATTCTGTTTTTTATTTAATCGTCACTTTCGTACTTATCATTTCAATGAAATTATTTTGCCGGTATGATAATTAACCGTCTTTACAGTATAAGCTTTGACTATTTTCAAAACACCTCCATATTTCCGACCTACATCTCTTTTAATAATCTTAAATGCTTTCTTCTAATGATTTTTCGTAACTACTTATGCTTTTTTTTAGATTTCTTTCTTACTTTTTAGAAAGACGAATATCGAATGTATCGTTTTATTATTCTGGTTTTTCTTCATCAGATGAATCTTTCTTATTTTTGTACTTGTCATAAGTTCTATTTTACGATTCAATTGATGACATTTTAATCTTATACTATTAGACCTTTTACTCTTGACTCTGTCTTGACATCTGTCTTGTTGTGCCGTTCCAGGGAGTACCCGCAGGGAATCAATTCACCGACACCTTTCGTGATTTTACAAAAGTAGTATAGATAGGCGGGTTCTAATCCGGGAGCTCCGAGGGGGGAGCGGGGCGGGGGAAGTTTGCGCGAGGTGGCTCACGTCACAGGGGGGGCTGACGTCACAGGGAGGATGACGTCACAGGGGGGACTGACGTCACAGGGGGACTGACGTCACAGGGAAGAGGTTAACTAATTTCTAATTACTTTTTAATTAATTTTCAGGTTTAATTAATTAATTATGTACTTTTTAAATTAATTATACAATTAAATAACAATGTTTAAATATTATTTATTATATATTTAAATTAAATATTTTATTGCTAAAAAATCTTTTATAAGACATTTTCTGATTATATCGAGCAGGGAGGAGGGGGGGGGGATTTTCGCGGGGGATGACGTCACTGGGGTAACCGCAGAGATGATTATTTACAGCGGGGCCCTGGGGGGAGGGGATTTTCGCGGACAGCGGTCGCGCCCCTGCGCCGCGTTCTCGCGCACGCGGTCTCTCTCTTTCTCCCGCGTTTTCGCCCATGCGCTCTCGCTCCCGCATCTCTCGCCCATAGCGCGTTCTCGTTCCCCGCGCACGCACGCACGCTGCCGCGTCGCCGCCGCCGTACTTGCTCGTTCCCGCGCACGCGGCTTCCCTCGCGCTCTCGCCCCCACGCACGCGGCTTCCCACTCGCGCGTTCTCGCTCCCACGTATTGCGCGTTCTCGCGTCCACGCACGCGATCTAGCGCGCTCTCGCTCCCGCGCATTCGCGTTCCCGCGTGCGCGGTGTCACAGAAGGTGTCTTGGAAGTCTAGCGAATCAAGTGTGTGCGAAATGGATCACCGTGCGAATAGAGTGCGCGAAGACGTGGAAGTTAATGTGGAGGACGAATCGGAAGGCACGTTGTCGTCCGATACGGGTGCCGTTAGTGATCAGAGCGAAGATTTAACATTGCACAGGGAGAGATACGTGTCGCAGGCGGAACTCCGTGCGTTGACCGAGCGTACCAAGCACTGCATGATCGAGTGCTACTATTCGACCGAAGATGATCTGGCTCTATGCGCCAGCTGCATGATTCGTCTGAGGGACACTGAGCTCGGAGGAACGAATCTAGTGTTGAAACACGAAATCGATTACGAACAAGTGCTAAGTGGCCAATACTGCTCCAACTGCCATGTGAGGACGTATGTGATAATTCCTTGCAGCATGTGTCCAATGTGCACCAATCAGAACACGTAAAAAACATTAGCGCGAACGAGACATGAAGAAGATAAGGTTAAGCTGGGAGGTGTTCAATGTTCCGTGCGTTCTCCGTGATTCGCATGGAGAGACCGTATCGTGCGACACGTATCGCCGGTGCAGTTTTTACGCGATCGGGAACTAGGAATACGTGAAACTGGTGAACGCTTCGCGAGACAGGGAGTCACAGTCAACCAAGAGCCCGCGTGCATGAGTGGCCCCATCACGCGAAACGAAAAGTGTACGCGTAGTTTCGCGAGAAAGCGTACGAGGACTACGGAAGGTGGTTCGAGTACGAACGTTGGAACGAAAAAATTCGGAACGATCAGTACGTAGATTTCAGTCGTGTGGAGAACAGGTACTACTGGGCGAAGCGAACCGTCGAAAAGCTCGAGCGTGCCAATCTGTACATCGCGATTCCCGTGGGTAGCGAGAGGTACATCGAGTTGCTAGTGATAGACCCATACATCTACGGCGAGTGGAAGTATCCCGCCGCTGTAAAACGGCAGATCGACGAGCACAGGCTGCAGTGGGAGCGTGAATTTGACGAACGTGGTGAGCTGGACGATACTTTTTGCAACGTGTGCATCGTCCCTCGAAAAGAGTGCGTGTATCAGGGAGGCGAAGAGTTTAAGGACTACCGCGTTCTAAATATGGACTGAACGTGTCCACAGTGTTAGCCAAATCACGTGCAAGTATTTCGTGGAAGAGTGCGACGCGATATAGAGAAAATCATGGACCGTCTCGAGCAAGTGGAAAACGAACTGCTGGAGCAGAGTCGTCAGATCGCCACTCTGGCGGAGTATTTCGCGTGGCTGCGACAATGCGACGAGTGCATCCAGCGGCTCGAAGAACTCTGTCGCGCCAAGCGTCCTCGGCTCGCCGCCGGAAGTAGACAGTCCGCGGTGGCGAGGATCGCCCGACTCGCTGGTGAAAGGGTGCGAGTGGAGAGACAAATCGTGCACGTGGGTGCCGGACACAGTGTGGGACTCGTGTGGCGAGAGATCGATACCGCGTTCCACAATCGCGTTCTGACCGGTGCGGTAATTAACACGGATTACATCGAGCCGCAACGATTTTTGGAAGACGCGGGCGATATAGTGCTCGAGCGAGTACGAGACGCCATAGAGAGACACGATAGCGTGAAGGTGAACACCGCGTTCAACGGCGAGTTTACGTCGGGTGACAAACGCGCCAATATAGGCATACCCTCGCGAAACGCGGAATTCTATCGAACGTCGGATGTGCGCGAATGGTACGAGAAGCATGTCGTCAAAGCCACGTTGAAGAAATTCGGCGAATTCGAGGAGCGCGACAGCGGGTGGGCGTTATCGCGAATCCTCAACTTGACTGTAAACGTGAACAAGCACAATCCGATGCACGCGGGATGCAGCGTCGAAGTGCCGTGGGAGATAGCGACGAAACGAGCGGTGATCAACGTGCGCTCGACGGACAACGCGTGCTTCGCGTGGTCGGTGGTCGCCGCTCTGCACCCCGTGGAAAGACACGCGGAACGGGAGTCGTCGTATCCGCATTACGCAACGGTGCTCGAGTTCGCGGGTATCAAGTTTCCGATGATTCTGAAGGACATTACAAAATTCGAACGTGCAAACGACGTGTCGATAAACGTGTACTGTATCGAGAAGGAGAGGGGCGTACTATCTGTTTTTCCGATACGATTGACTGGTCGAAAGATGGAGAAGCATGTCAACCTGTTGTACATGAAAGATCAACGAGACAGCAGCATCGGCCACTTCGCGTGGATAAAAAATTTGTCCCGCCTCGTGAGCTCTCAACTCAGCAAGAAGAAAAACAAAAAATTCTTCTGCGATCGGTACGTATCGGGAAAATACTAAAATAGAATATTGTAAAAAAGACAAAAATTAAGTAAAGTATTTTATGTTTACAGATGCCTACATTACTTCAGCTCGCAGGAACGACTGGATGCCCACACCGTGGACTGCAACGAGCTGAACAAATGTGCGATAGAGCTGCCGAAAGAAGACGCGAAATGGCTAACGTTCAACAAACACGGCAACAAGGAACGTATGCCTTTCGTCGTGTACGCCGACCTGGAGTGCGTTCTGGAAAAGATGGATCCGAATCTGCCTGAGTCTCAACATCACAAGGTACACAGTATCGGATACTACGTGCACTGCTCGTACGGCGACGCGCTATCGATGTATCGGTGTCGTCGCGATAAGGATTGCGTCGCGTGGTTTGTCGAGGAACTCAAAGAATTAGCGCACAAAGTAAAGTCCGCTCTGTCCGTTAACGTTCCGATGGCAGAATTGACGCGCGACGAACGCGAAAGATATAACAACGCTACACACTGTCACATATGCGAAAAACCGTTCGCGGCGGAAAACACGCGGGTACGGGATCACTGCCACATGACCGGACGATACAGAGGTCCCGTGCATTCCAATTGCAATCTGAACTACAAAGATTCGCGTTGCATTCCCGTGATATTTCACAATCTATCCGGTTACGACGCGCATTTCATTATCAAGGAAGTAGCTACCGCTTACGATGGGCACGTAGAACTACTTCCGGTAACGAAAGAGAAATATATTGCGTTTATGAAAACGGTCAATGGCACGGAAGAAAAAAAAGATTATAAAACTCGCATAACATTGCGCTTTATCGACTCGTTCAAATTTCTCAGTTCGAGTCTCGAAAAATTGACTTCGTATCTCACGAAAGATAAACTACGGACAATGCAACGCGAATTTTGCAATTTGTCGGCAGAACAGTTCGATCTACTGACGCGAAAAGGCGTCTTTCCGTACGAGTACGTCGACCGCTTCGAAAAGTTGGAGGATACGCGTTTACCGCCGCGCGAATCGTTTCACAGTTCGCTGACGGGCGACACCGTGTCCGAGAGCGATTACGAGCACGCCGTTGACGTGTGGCAGCGGTTCTCCAATCGGAACGCTCGGCGAGTACAGCGATCTGTACCTGAAAACGGACGTCCTGTTGCTTGCGGATATTTTTGAAAATTTTCGCGACAGCTGCGTCGCGAGTTACGGACTCGATCCCGCCCATTATTTCACGTTGCCAGGTTTCACGTGGGACGCCATGCTGAAACATACGTGTGTAAATTTCGAACTGCTCACCGATATCGATATGGTCTTGTTTATCGAGCGCGGTATACGCGGTGGCCTCAGTCAATGTTCCAACAGATACGCGCGGGCCAACAATAAATACATGTCTTCGTACGACCCGTCGAAACCGTCGTCGTACCTAATGTACTACGACGTAAACAATTTGTACGGCTGGGCGATGTGTCAGCCGTTGCCCTATGCCGACTTTCGATGGGTCGACGATGCCGAGAACTTTGACTGGAGCGCGATCGCTTCGGATTCGCCCACAGGGTATATTCTAGAGGTCGATCTAGAGTATCCTCAATATCTACACGATCGGCACACTGATCTTCCTTTTTGCCCGACGCGCGATAAGCCACCCGGCACGCGGCAAGATAAGCTCCTCGCGACGCTCAGCGATAAGAAGCGTTACGTCATCCACTACCGCAACCTGCAGCAATGCACTCGCCACGGCCTTCGCGTAACGAAGATTTACCGCGTGTTGCAATTCGCGCAATCTCCATGGCTTCGCGAGTACATCAAACTAAATACGAAATTCAGAACCGAGGCTAGGAACGATTTTGAAAAAAATCTGTACAAACTAATGAATAACGCGATATTCGGTAAGACCATGGAGAACGTGCGCAAGCACGTCGACGTGAGACTGGCGACAATATGGGAGGGTAGACACGGCGCGGAGGCGCTGATCGCGAAAACAAATTTTCACAGCCGCAGTGTTTTCGCGGAAAATTTAATCGCCGTCGAACTGCGTAAACTCAAGGTACGATTCTACAAGCCGATTTACGTGGGTATGTGTATACTCGACGTATCGAAAGTCTGCTTGTATGAATTTCACCACGAGTACATGTTGCCACTGTACCGCGACAAGTGCAAGGTCATGTACACCGACACGGACAGTCTTATATACATCTCGA